AAAGATTCCCTTAATTCTGCAAATTGTTCTTTGGGAATTCTTGAAGAACAACCACAATCACAACCTTTTTCTAAAAAACCAATTGCTTTTTGATATTCATTAGAACCATTATATTTATTATTATTATAATTGGAAAAACATAATAATGAGATAATTTTTAAAAGTGTCAACAAATCGTGATTTTAAAATCAATATTAATATTAATAATGTAGTTAACTATATTTAATATTAATAATGTAGTTAATTATATATAAATTTGGATACAATGCATATTAGAATTCGGGCTTTCTTTGCATCTAAGTTTGTTCAATTTGGTCAAGTTTCAGTAAGCTACAAAAATATACATCTTTCAAAATTGTGTAATCTATTAAAATATTTTCATTTTTACACAATCTAGAATTCAAATAAGTACTAATACAAATTATTTCATCCTGACTGGTTGGATACATGCTGAGATATAATAATGTAAAGACATATTTAACAATTATTATTATGTAGGCTACAGGAGATCTGATGTTAATATTAATTATCAAAGTAGTTCTCAATAAATTACGCTGCATTCTGAAATTTGGGCATGTATAAATTTTTATAAATGAAGAAAACACCATTAAAACTTTACTTCAATGTATTAGTTAAATTTAAATAAGAATGCCTTTTATTTGGTTATAAATGAAAATTTGATTAACTGGCGTAAAAAAATGGGCAAATTGATAGCTTTAAATATACTACAGTGTAAAAATGGGGTAAATTTTAAAATCTTAACGAGGTAGATTTACTAACTGTCTTGCATATCAGTTATTTTAATTATACGATGTCCTGGAATTGGTTTCCTGCATCATGATGACCATGATTTAATTAAGATGGTAGTGTTGTGATGACTGTAATTTTGTTGATTGTTTTTATGCTTAAATCATAACAATTAAAATCATTGACCTTCCTTTTTCACAATTATAGACAATAATCAATATTGACTTTATTTATACAATTATTTTTTAGCAAATATTAAACAACCTAATTAATAATCATCTTATATTTCTTCTAATTTTGACAACTAATTAATGAAGAGACTATTACTATATAAATTAAAAATAAATTTTGATACATGAAATGATCCCCGCATGACATATTACACAATTTTTAACCTTACAAGCGCATTCTTCACACGAGACCAAATGATGACACGGCAAAAAACAATGGGATATTTCCTTGCTCAAGCATATTTTACAACTTAATAGTTGCTTTTTCAATTCATAATTTTCTTTTGCTAGTTCATCATTTTCTTTTGCCAGTTCCTCATTGATATCCATTTCAACACGTAATTTTGATTTAAAACATAGTATGTGCTTATTCATTTGGATTACTTCTTTTTCTAGCATTTTAATCTTCTCACACAAATCTTCAGACTTATTATTATTGTCATTGCTTGTAAAAAAGTCACTAAAATCGTTTATATATTTATGTATACTGGGATCACAACTAAGGTTTCTGGTCAAAACTGCTTCTATTAGTAGCCGAAATTGCCCAAATACTTTGGGCAAAAATTATTTTTTTA